AAATGTAAATTCAAATACTCGGTTCAGAGAAAGACCGAATTTATTTATCAAGGATAAAGGATCTACGAAACAAGATCCTGTCCTTTCTTCCTCTGAAGTAAAGTGTACATCCACAACGGATTCTTAACCACTTGTTGAAGCATGACAAAAGTATATAATGGCTTTCCACTGATGATACATTGGGGCTAGAAACTTCGTCTATGGTGCCTTTCACTTGAGATTTCCTTGATCGACATTCTTGAGCATGGCACTATTCCTTTACACGGACCTTGGAAAGTCATATCTCTGCGTTGTTAACGGACTAGATAATAACTTGTTTGCTTTCATCGAGAATAACTGTATTTCCCTCATTGTCTACCAATCTAGATGAGCCAAGTACCAAAATGAAGGTTGTAAATGCTTACTCAAATCAAAGAAGCCAGCTAGAACGATAGAATATGATGTTAGTAGCTGTCATTGTTCGGTTATGGACCATATAATTACCAGAACTATCGCAGCAATACTTCTTGCAACGACCTGATGGGCAAGGATTCCCACCAGCACTGCTATCTGAAGTCACTAAACGCTTGCCAGAAGGGCAGTTTTGTTGACATTGGTCTAGAGTGAGACTCAGTATGGAGTAAAAACATCATAGAGCTAAGCCAGTCTACGTACTCGTGTCATACCACCCGCCTATGAGCACATAGGGTTTAATTTTGTCGTAAGTTTCGCTGATCATGTAAGAATGCCATCTCTGTACTCACATCCATCGAGCGGAGGTTTGTTATCGCAACAAAAACGGATTTCACCCGAACAAGCGGGGCCTAAAGAAGAGGAAACAGCTACTGTCAAGAGGCAAACGGCTTCTACTGAACGGATTCGACCTACGGCCACATCCTCCTGTGCCAAAAGTCACTTCTTCTGGAAATCTTTCGGGGCATGCCGCTGCGTTACAAGCTAATGTATTACCAAATGGTAGACGAATTGGTCATTAGGGTGGTTTAGCTTTTGGAATACGAACCGGTCCATGTGCAAGCCGCAGCGACGAGACTTGGAAAGGCAGCGGTAAGGACGAGTAGAAAGGGGGTGCGCATGACGGGAAGCAAGAAGGGGAGATGTTCGGTCTTAAAACTTGGACGAGATGACTTGCGTTATATAGGATCGAGTATTTGAAATTACATTTCCTGACCGGGGAAGATGGTTGGCATTGTGAATGGTGTGTGGGGCGAGGTTCTTGTGGAATGCAGTGTTATCCACAGATCGACCCTTTGAGGATGAAGTATGTAAAGGGACTATCTTTAGTTAGTCTTGCCGGAGCATTGCAGGACCCTGCTCCACCCCGACACTTATTGAATAGATAAAGTTAGGGTACCTGATTCGTATATCGTAAAAGAGGACAGCGTTTGCTTTCAGGAGGAGCTGCTTCTACTGACGTCTCTATCGACCCACAGGGTAATGATTAACGCACATTGAAATTGGGCCGAGTCCGGGTGAGAGGGGAGGGAAGCAAGTTCCATTCGTAGCAATTTGTCAAGCCGAAGCTGTGGGTCTCGCATCAGATGATTGACATCGAAAGGGCCACTAGCTTCAATAGCTCACGTACCTTGGAGTAACTTCATACCAAGTAGTCGTCATCTTTGGAAGTTGGTCCTGGGGTGGCGCTTGATGTTCACCAAATATGGAATTTCACAGTTGCAGCCGTGTCCAACAATAGAACGGCAAGCCGCCTGCCGTTCCCGAGGACGTCGCTGCGGCTACAGAGCAGCGGACTTGGAAGTTTTCGAAATCGTATTCTTGGCTCCTCTAAGAGAAGTTCATCATTGGACGGATGCCTATCTCGACGCGCAGCTTGAAGTATCCCTCGCGTTCCGCCTCTAGAAAGGCTATATTCACCCATCTAGATATTCATAGGAAGAAAGGGATTTAGACCGCTGATTTAGTAGTGTCCAAAGCGTGGATAAGTCGACAGGACCCATCACTGGGAATAGTAACCTCGTTAGATCTATTGATGCCGAGAGAATTCGGAGTTAAGATTCGCTCTTCGCAAGGGAAGTGTTGTTGCAGCTGCCATAGATTCGTCGTCAATAAGAACGCCCAGAAAAGATGGGACTTGTTGATAACCAAACGAGTGTTACGTTCGCAGAGGTTCATTTCTAGCTCTTGTTAATACCTTTAATTGTCTGAGGAGACTCTGCGTACCTTAGCGTTCTTACGACTGTCTGTTCAGGTTCGTCGACAAGCCGGCCGTCCGCGAGCTTCGTGGGGAATTCTTCGGACTCGAGTGTCCGTATTTTGGGTTATTGATGGAATGAAAATTTTTAGAACCGGCATAACGCGGCACCAATATTTGTGCTCTTTAAGGCCGCTCCCGGTACTGGCGGTTGCTCAAGTGGGTGGACGACATCAAGCTTGGACCCCTTCCGCCACGACCTCAACCCCAACGACATCTCTCACACCCTCTTTTCCGCCCTTTAGAGCGTTTTTATTTCATATCGCTCTTTTTTCACTCTTTTTTTCGAGGAGTCAAGGATGGCGTCGCTGTCGTTACGATGCCTGGGGTTAGGCCTAATTACGGCGTTGGTCCTTCACGAGTCCAAGGCATCAGCAGCGGTCACCGCCGAGCCATGGGATCCGCAACTGCATGTTCGATACAGACACCTCGTCTCGCCGAGAACGAAAAGACGGGTTCCGAGGAACCTGGTGCCGCGTCAAACGAATGATCAGACGGTGCAACCGGGCCAACCTACCCATACCATTCCGGATAGCTTAGTTGGAGGGTTTGAGATCGTAGGAGACTCTGGAGTGTCTGCTCAACAAATGTTCTTGGGAACGGAGAACCTGGTGTGTATATCTTGATGTTACACCTTATGGCAGTGTGGGTATACCAAGTGCTGATGATAACCATTCGATATTACGATAGGTATATATTCTAGACAAAGTAGAGGACAATCCTATGAAGATCAATAACCATGCTGCCTGGGGCACAGTCTACGATATCGACGCAAACACCGCAACCCCAATGGAGGTGGTCACAAACACCTTTTGCGCTGGAGGAGCGATGTTGGGTGAGATACTATTCACACAGTCCTCGTCCATATTCCTGACGAACTTTCATTAGGTACTGGTGCCTGGCTGAATATTGGAGGCAACCAAGCCGTTGACCCTGGAGGAGGAAATTCCACCTCTCAATCTGGAAACAATACATACCAAAACTCCGATGGTGGATTCTCAGCACGAACTATCATCCCAGGTCCCGACAATCAATGGGAAGATGATCCAACTCTGGATTTGTACGTGATAGATAGTGGCCCTTTCGTTTCTCTAACCTGACGTTCCCACTTTAGGAAGACGAGGCGATGGTATCCTTCCCTAGAGCCCATGATAGATGGTCGCATATTCAGTGAGTCGTTTTTTCAACTTCTTTCCAAGGAAACTAATAAAGTGTATCCATAGTCTTGGGAGGCGACCAGTTTGGTGGATTCGTCAACGAGTGAGCGATACTTCTAGGTGTTTTGCACAAGTCTAATTTCTTTTCTATCTTTTAGCGTCAATAACAGTAATCCTACGTACGAGTTCTGGCCACCGTACGGAGGGGAGAGCCCGATTGGCAGTCCAATATTGGAAAACACTCTTCCAGCTAACTTATACCCAATCGTTCATCTCCTTCCCAGTAACCAACTTCTCCTCAATATCAACAAGGCGGCAGCTGTTCTCGACACTACCAACGACCACGAATACCCTCTTCCTGAGGTGCCCTATGCAGTTCGGACCTACCCCGCCAGCGCATCAAGCGTCATGCTCCCTCTCACCGTGGAGAATGGTTGGAACGCTACGGTCATGTATTGTGGAGGAAGTGATGTCGCCAAGGACGATTGGCTCTCGAGTTTGGCGCTCATCAACATTCCAGCTTCGTCTAGTTGTATCACGATATCACCTGCGACAGAGAATACGTGGCAAGACGATGACTCGCTTCCTCAAGGTCGAGTGATGGGCAGTGCTATCCTCTTGCCCGATAGCACTGTCGTCGTGCTCAACGGGGCCAATCAGGTACGTTTATGGATTTATATCCAGAAGTATTTATGTTTATGTGCGTCAATAGGGTGTAGCTGGATATGCTGGAAATCCAGCTCAGCAGGCGTGGTCTGCAGATGATGGCTTTGCGGAAGCACCCACTCTCATGCCCATCATCTATGATCCTAAGAGACCACAAGGCGAGCGATGGTCGGAATCTGGTCTCAAACAGTCCACTGTACCGAGAATGTATCACTCTACCGCCACCCTATTACCAGATGGTAAGCCCCGAACCCTAGACTAAACTAGAGGACGCAATCTTACATTTGGATTCAGGTTCCGTGCTAGTTTCCGGAAGCAACCCCCACCCCGACTACAGTCCCAATAAGAAATACCCCACCGAATACCGCGTTGAACGCTTTTACCCTCTTTACTACAACAAGCGGCGCCCAGAGCCTTCTGGCGTTCCCACCCAAATTAGCTATGGAGGCTCTTACTTTGAGCTCCATTTGTCTTCGGACGACTTGTTTGGCAATAAGGGAAACGTAAATACGGTCAAGGTCGTCTTGATGAAGACCGGCTTTTCGACACACGCCATCAACTTTGGAATGAGGATGGCAGAATTGGATCACACGTTTACCGATAACGGAGACGGAAGTGTTACGCTTCATGTCAGCCAAGCCCCTCCAAACCCTGCCATCCTCCCACCAGTACCGGGAGCGGCCTTAAAGAGCACAAATATTGGTGCCGCGTTATGCCGGT